ACCGGCACGTCTATCTCTGGCCCGGGTTTTCAAGTTGGGACTGTCTGCTTTTATCGCCTCAAAGCTTTTGACATCTTTTTGAATTGAGGCAGTTTGTGGTGCTGCCGTTGCCAAAATCTCACATTGACTCACTGAAGCCGAGCTCAGGTGCAGCAGCTTTATTTATTTATTTTAAAAAGCTGCATCATCTGCATTTCTTCGTGTGTTTTCCATGAGGTGTGTGTGTGTATGAAGTGCAAAATAACTGTTCAAAACACAAACAAACGACATCTTCCTCGGCACATCACCTCCGTCTCTCCCTGCGCATGTCTCCTGCAGAAAGAGCCTCTGTCCTGTCTGTATCATGTCAGTGTCTTGGAGGATTTCAGCAGATTTCAGACTCTCTCGGGGGCGGGGTTACTTCTATCAATCAGGTATGAGTGGATGTCCGGCTACTGAAGTTTGAGACGTTTCTTCTCGTCATTTACACATTTGGGTAAGATGTATCCCCCTCACTAATGTTCATTTAGCATCATAACTTATTTTATCACACAGCGAAAAACTATTTGAGTGCACTGACAGTATCGCGAGTTAGTGTAGCAACTTCATGTGAACCCTAGATCCATGTGTAAACCGCACAGACAGCGGTGTTTTCTGCATTCAGGCTGCACAAGCTGTTGCCAAACCATAAACCGTATATATGAATGGACAATGTGTCAAACAAAGACTCCGTCCATATATTCGCCGCATCGTTTTATTCGCGGCAGGGTTCAAAGTGTGAGAAAAAAGTAGAGGCTTATAGTCCAGAATTTACAGTAAGTTGAATTAACTATAACCATATGGAGGGTTATTTAAGTCGTTTATATTATGTGTATTTTCCAGTTGATTTTTGTTCATGAGTACAGTTTTTGCTTACTTTAAACTTTAAACCGCTATGTTTTGTTAATTGGTTTAGCTCAGGGGGTGGGGCTAAGGGGTATTTAAGGGGGAGCTCTGTTCATTTTGTGGTCTGTCTTTGGTGGGTGCTGGCTTTCTGTAAATATTGTTGTAAATACTTCTCTCTTTTTTTTTTGTGACTCTGCTTCATCATTTTCACTGTAAATATTGCACTCTGCACATTGGGCCGTGGTGTGAATAAAAAAAAAAAAGCAAGTTTTTTTCAACTGAGCCATCATTTCTTTACATTTATTTTAGACGAACCCGTGACGTGCATAATTAATTCGTTTTGTGCATATTAAAAGCATATCCTAAATAGCCACACATTTATTTGAAGTTTTCACCAAAATTGTGATCTCTGTTCGTAAAATGTTCAGGAAAACTGAAGAAAAAGTACAAAATGGATTTAAACAGTGCATTTTCAGGTGTCTGTGATCAATACAAGCATTCATGGTCCTGTTTAGGTGTTTGATTTTCAACATAAAAAGTTGAGATTGACTAACTGTAATTTTGTGTTTGTAATTTTATGTTTGAGAGACTTTTTTTAAGCGCACAAATCATGTCGCCTGTTGTAGTTCCAACCACGTCAGCTCTTTCTGGTCAAAACAAAGCTCAGATTTAAGGTGCACTCTGTAACTTTTCTGGTCTGCCACTTGCTTGTATCCATGGAGATGTTATTGTTATATATTGTTTTCTCTGGAATGTTACATGGTATAGAATTAAACATCTATCAGGCGTTTAGTACGTTTATTTTGGTGAAAAAAATACCTTAGAATCGTGCTTTTCTATGGTTCCTGGGGTCACCTCTTCACAGATCTGACCTGTACCATGGTTGGTGGCGTCTCCATGGAGATAAATAAGCTTAATTTTACCATACTGTGATAAAACATTCTAGCCTGAAGCAATAACAGAACCATACAAGCAGGCGGTGGAGTGAGTGGAGTAAAGTTACGCAATGCATCTTTAAGTCTAACTTGAGTAAGGTTATGTTCAGCCTGCAGCCTGAAGTGACCCAAATCCAATTTTTTCGCCTCTGTGTGACCTGTATCTGATCTTTTAATGACAGTCTGAACGACAAAGATCCGATTTTTTCAAAACCGACCCAGGCCGCTTAGATATGTGCTCCTAAAACCAATATATATTCGATCTTTTGATGGTCAGGTCGCATTCATCCCACCTACACGTCAGGCTCGGAGTCTAGTCAATTCATTCTGTATTCAGGCCAAATTAGAGGGATCTTATCGGAACCGGGCAGTTTTTGAAATGATTGCCAAAAAAATGTCCGAGCTACAGACAGTCCTGGCTCCAATGTCAACAAAAAATAAAGAGTCTGCGAGCCAAATCCAAGACTCAAACAAACGAAGTGGGCGAGGATGTGTAACCTGTCCATTTTATGAAGAACTGGATTTTTGGGAGACAAACCCAAACAGAGGGCCCAGATTTCACTTAGGGACCCCTGAAAGTTAGATCCAGCTCTGAGTAGTACCACGAAGCACCTCACTCTGTAAACCCCGTAGTACAGGTCTCAGTATTTAGCCTCTTTTCATTTTCAATTCTCAGTTCACCAAGTTAATTCATTCAATACTATTATTAATCACACTCACACAACGCACTCCCCTCAGCGCGTTTTCCCTTGTTGACGTTAGATTAGACTTGTGAACTAATTGTAGTTACATAGTATTGCAACAGCCCACTTCCTCTTTGTGCTGGTTTACAAACAGCCGTACAAATGTAGGGCAGCTAAATGCTAATTAGCAACCGTTTGAAAAGTCCACAGGCGATGGAGCTGTAAACAAGCCTGCCTGCCGCGTTTGGAGCAGCGATGTAAAGATATCCAAATTTCTCGGTACGATATTTTCACGATATACATCTCACGGTACGATATTTATTATAATATTTGTAGAGGCTTGCAAAACTATAAATACGCTACTTTTTCCTCTTAAAATGCCTTGATAAGACTTATCTGAGATTTAAAGTGCATAAAACTGCAAATTTTTTCATGAAGTCTGCACTGAAATGGAGCAAAGGATCATGGTCTATGTAGTTCCTTCACTTTTTTTGAGCTATTGCTGCACTATAACTATTAATTTAAGTGAAGAGACTTGTAATTCAATATGTTGTGATGGTCCATAATATTATTGTGAGACTTTTGACGATATTTTGGTTATTGTTACAACCATCGTTTGGAGTGGAGTATTTTATTTTGCTACTGCCCTGAGACAAAATAAATAAAAAAATAAAAAGTTGAGAGAAATTATTTTTATTATAGAAAACTTCAGGGGAGGTGGAAGGAAATGTGAGATTGTTTTTAATCACTGTAAAGCGCGTTGTGTTTGTGTCTTTGCATTTTTTTATAAGAAAAGTGCTCTAGAAATAAAGTTTGATTGATTGATTGTTTAAAAACTATGGAAACAATGGCGTCCAGACATTTTTATCATCATATTCGGTGTCAAGGCGTAACTGAAGCAAAGTTCTGGGTTAGTAAGTTTAGCTTTTAACTCAAACATGCTCAGAAAAAAGTATATAAATGCACCCCTATTAAAAAAGTCACCCAAAAAGAAAAATTAACCCAAAAAGCAGTGAAACAACAGGTCTAAAAGTGGTTGAGTAAAGAGGTATAGTCAGTGTAGTGATGTAAGAATCAACCATGATGCAATATGGTAAAACGGTAAATGGTCACATTTTTATAGAGAGTTTTTCCACCTTCAAAGCGCTTCACATCATTCACACATTCATACACCAGTGTACACAGACACAGGAGCGAGGTGGGTTAAGTGTCTTGCCCAAGGACACAACAACAGCATTCATCTGTGGGAGCTGGAATCAAACCACCAACCTTCAGATAACAATACAAATGCTCTACCAACTGAGCTGCTGTTGCTCATATAAACAGTCTCACTAAATTATTACGAAACAAATGTTTAGGAATAAAATTGAGACTATTTCCTGAATAATATTTCACCAAAATTGTGAATCTGTGTTTGTAGAATGTTCAGGAAAACTCAATAAAAATACAAAATGGATTAAAACACTTTTTCAGCAGCCTTTTTTAACATTTTTAAAATCATCTCACCTGTTGTAGTTACACATTTTCTGGGCAGATTGTGTCAAAACCAAACTCAGATTAAGTCTAACTTAAATAACAGAGCTTCAAACAGAGCAGTGCTTCCAGTTAGCTTCACAACCCCACGGAATGTTAATGACACCAACTGCAAAGTGTCAATTGAAGAAAGCAAGATAGAGTTTCCAAAAGCAGCTAACAATTGTGTGAATCAAAACTGTGCTTAAAATTTTGACATGAATCTTATGCCATACATCACCCAAACTTTATACAGCAAAAGACCTTAACGTGCATATGACAGATTCTTAAAATTCTCTAATTTTGACAAAATCTGGTGGGATTATAATGATTTGAAATATAAATTATAGTTTTACGCCAAAAGAAAAGCAATTTGTGAAGAAAAGTTGAAAAACTCACTGAAAATTACAGGAAGTAGAGAGTTCTAAAACACGCTGAGAATTCTGTTCAAAAGTTCAGCACAATTTACATGCAAGAGGCAATTTTAAACACAATTTCAACTAAATAAAAGTGATTTCTTGTATGTGTAGTTGTCAGATAATCTTTTCTGTGTACATTATAAGTAATTCCCTAGTGTCATGTCACGATTTCCAACCTGAAAGTTAAATTTTGAAAATAAAATTTGGCCAAATTGGGAAATCAAGTGAATGTTTTTGCAAAAATCTTAAATATTATGATCTTAAACTTTACTTTTGGTCCTTCACCTGATTGTTTTCATGGATAAATGTCATTGCTAGGGCTGGAATGCTCCACAGTATGACATTAAACAGCTCTATCTTACATTTATTTAACTACAAGTGGTTTTATTGTTCAAAAATACCCAGAAAAACAACATTCTGACTGTGAGTGGGGTTGCCTCTCCACAGATCTGACCTGTAACTTCTCTGATTTGGTCTCCATGAAAATGAAAAGGATAGAAAATCGCGACACAAATCTCCCGCCACACATCACATACGCATTACAACGACACGGCAAATCACCCGAACCACCATCGCCACCGACTCACCTTTCTTGTCCCCGAAGAAGAGCGTCTGCTGTGCCGGGTTCGACCACTGGAGGGAGGTGTTGTCATTGAACTCCACTCTGCAGGTCATGTTGGCCGAGGTGCCCTCCACCACGGTGACGTTCTGCGTGATGGGGAACTGGCCCTGGCTTCCTGTGGGGGCCAAAAGGGGAGAGAGGGGTCAGAAGAGGAGAGAGTTATGGTAATGTCCAGCGCGGTCCAGCCATATGTGCCGGCCTTTCCATTATTACATCGGATTACATCAATGTCTCTCAGCGCCGAGGGGGGAGGGCGAGAGGTGGAAATGTGCCCTGTCAAGGTGATCGAGCAGAGAGTTTCAAAGTGTGGTGCGCGGGCTTTTTCTGGCCTTATCTTCAATCAGATTTGCAACCCGTAATGCTTTAGAATGGGTTTAATATTTATTTACTCTGCTTTAGGTTCACTTCAGCCTTAGTTTGGTCCTTGTGGTACTTGAAAAGGGTTTTTTTTTCGGAGCACTTGCTGTCAAACTTTGAGAAACACTGCAAAAAAGTGTTGATTTATTTCATTTATTTACTCTTTTAAAACTTTGAATGTGAGAGCTAAGTCCTGAGACCCAAGAGGGCGTCCTTTTGCGCTTGTTGTTTTAGTGGTTAAGAAAATCAAAGCACCACAAACATACACAGATTGAACTGGGCACCGTTTGATTTGTTTCAATTCTGTATTTTAACGTTACCTGCTCTCTGATACCAATACCTGAATGGTTCTTTTTTTCTGTGCCTGTATTTTTTAAGTTTAAATAAATCTTTGAATTACATTATAACTATGGTCATTCTTATTTAAACCATTTAGACCACAGGTGTCAAACATAAGGCCCGGGGGCCAGATCCGGCCCTCCAAGACCTTTAATCTGGCCCTCGGCTGATTTTCTACTAAAATATTTTAATTATATTTTCTATTAAAATCTTGTTAATTTTCTGTGGTGTTTATCACAGCAGCGTCTCCAGCGTCTCTGTACGTGGCCCCTCCCACCAGAGCAGCACAAATGAAGACTTGTGGAGCCGAGTGCAGGATTTTAAAAGAAAAAATTGACTTATTCCTGTTTACATACAAGTTAATGTTAAAACATTGTGTTGAAATTACATTTTTCTTAAAGTTTCAGGTTGTTCATAATATTATAATATTTTATAAAGAAAGAGTTCATCAATTAAAAAAGATTTCTGTAATAGATTTGTGTTTCTCTGCACAAATATTTGAACTTATTGCTATTTTGGGGGGTTTATATGACATGAGTTTTCTGATCCGGCCCGTTTGGGATCAAAGTAGTTTGGATACGGCCCCCGGACCAAAATAAGTTTGACACCCCTGATTTAGACTATATTATGTTGAGTTACCTGCTCTGCTGATCTGTGGTGGCTATTTGACACAGGCATTTAAAGTCAAGGAACCCAAAGTTGGTGCCTAGTTGGAACTAAGTTTGGGTGCCCAGCTCTAAACAATGACACAGTGAGAACATGCAAACAGCTTCCCATGGTACGTGAATAAAATCTGGTGAGATAGGTTAAGTTCACACTGAAACAAATCACCGTATCAGAAACGATTTGTGTCCAGACACGTCGTATCTGTCCACACATTAACACAAAGGTTTTCATTCCGCACTCTTCTCTCTAATTTATGTCTCTCTTTATGATTATTTATGTTTTGATTTGTTTTTATTATGATTTTAATGTATTTCTTATTCTGTAAAGCACTTTGAATTACTTTGTGTACGAATTGTGCAAAACTGCCTGAAACACTTGTCACATGACTAGGCTGGTGTCATGTGGGTGGTAAAAACAAGGAAGTGGAGCACTGTATTTGAAGTTGCAGCAGCCGATTTCGAGCCGAGGAAGATATCAAGCGTGAAAGTAGTAAGTAGTTCTAGCTACACTCGTTCTCATTTGTCTATGGTTTGTTTAAATTGTTTTCCGCAATAGCGTCAAATGATCAATGTCATGAACCCAGCAAATTAGGAAGGCGCAAGTCACAGTGACGTGGACCAATAAGAACGCGACTAGAGCTCCTATGTCAGTGTATCAGTGTTTTCAGGCGTCCACACAGTGATCAGAATCAGATCTGTACTCCGGTTAATTCATGGGAGCTGGGAAATCGTTCCGTCTCTGGAGCCATTTTCCTTCAGATTAGTGTGAACTAACACTGTGTCCACAACGAAAACAACTCGAATACGTACTAGTGTGGATGGGGCCTAATATTGATAACCACTGTGCACCTGTCACTGTGTATTCTATGTCTGTTTCATAGACACCATGTCTTAAAATCTATATCAACAGCAAGAACTGCATCTTTTCCCCTATAAAGGTAATGTAGCCACTATAATGTCCTTCACTCAAATCAAGATCTCAGACATTCACAAAGACTCTGAATTACCTGGAGAGTGAAGCCAAAACCTTCTTACTAACAAACCAAGAAGTTAAATATGCAACAGACTAATATGACAGTAGTTGTTTTTCTAATAATATGCAAAATTAGAATATCCCGTATATAGTGTATTAAAATGATTTAAAGAACTTTAAGTATTCACATTTTTCTAACTTGCGTCTGCACATGTCTGCCTTTAGAAAATACACTTTATAAACCTCACCTCTGTTTCCAGTGAGGCATTTAGGCTCGGGAGATGTAACGCTATGAGAGCTGACAGAGCCACGCATTTGTTGCAAACACAATCTGACTCCAGAATTTGTCTGCTGATGGTTTATGTGCTTAAAAACTGCGTCTACAGAAGTCCAGAGTTTTAACTATGCCATCACAATCCAGGCAAAATGCAAACAGAGCATTAGGACTAATAAATGAATGAAGCAAGTAAGAATGAAGCAAAAATACAACTCCAAGTATGTTTTTGATGAAGGGACAACAGTGTACCATGGCTAAGAGCAAAAAAAAAGTTAATTCTACATAATATGTGTTCTTAAAAGCTGCACTATGTCACTTTTTGGTTTTGGGTATGTCATTGCTTTGCCTGAATGATCCACAGTATGACATTAAACAGCTCTGTCTTACATTACAGGTAAATTACAGGTGGTTTTATAGCTAACAAACTCCTAGAAAAACATATATCCTGACTGTGAGCGGGGTGGCCTCTCCACAGATCTGACCTATAACTTGTAACGTCTGGTTTGGTCTCCATGAAGATAGAAAGTTTTAATATTATACTGTGAAACATTCTAGACAAAGCAATGACATTCCCATTTAGAACAGTATTTGACGGACCAGATTCAAGCACATTTGACGGATTGCCATAACAAAGTCTAAACATCGTCATCGGCCGAGTAAAAAACCTGCTTTAAATCACTACTTTTCCTCACTCAATGAAAGGAAGTCTCCCGCTGTGAATTCCTGCCGGATCTAATTGGTACCACGGCCTAATTACCGGTAGTGATGTGGGCCAGTCCGGTGACGGTGGCGAGCTGCAGCCGGGTGGCAAATTGACACGTAATCCCGGAGAGTGTGGGTGCGGATCCGTGCCACCGCCATGCCCCGGAAAGTCACTCGTCACTGCGCAGCGGACTTCCAAATGAGCCCTAATCAGCCGGCCATGTTGGATGTTAGCTCCTCACTCCACATTTGTACCAGTCATCACACCTAAGTCCAGCTAATTATACCGCCAAAGTGTTCTGTTCTGCGCACGGACGGCTGGAACTGAACTCTGCCACGTCTCAGGAACAAAATGATCCTTTGTTATAAGAAAAGGAAAGATAGCAGAGATGATGAAAAGAGCTGTAACTGGACTATTAGGAGGAGGTCTAGTTTTACTGTGAAATATGGACTCGGAGGTATACTGGCAGATCAGAGATGGGTAGAGGAGACAAAAGTTGTTTGTATGAAAAATGTGTTCACACAGTTGATTTAGTCCTAGATTGAGCCAGTTGCAGTCTTGATTTGGATCTTGGTCCGGTTCTAATCATGGTCTAGTCCAGCTTCATTTTGGATTTAGTCAACTAGTCGATTATTTAAATGGAAGTACCGAGTAGAGACCTAAAAGAATAAAACGTGTTTGGTGAAAATACTAACTAAAGCTAGCATCTGTAAGTTTATTTGATTTTCTTTTACCAGTAAATGCCAGATGTGACACATGTACCTCTCTCCCCTCACCTGGCCTTTGTTCAGATCTGGCCTGTGCTGTCTGGTGTCCTTCTGTCAGGCCAAAACTGGACCAATATCAGACTGCAGTAACACAGACGGCATCAAGTGGGGATGTGTGCATGTGATAGAGGCGAGAACTGAGTAGCTGTTTGGATGTAGCATCTAATTTACATTTGTTTTAAAATGAAACTAAGGCTACGTTCAGACTGCAGCCTGAAGTGAACCCGAATCTGATTTTTTTTTGCCCCTATGCTTCCTGTATTTGATCTTTTAATGACAGTATGAACGATACAGATCCGATTTTTTCAAATACGACCCAGATCGCTTGGATATGTATATGCATATGTATGTATGTTTGTGTGGAAATGTTTTTGTATATATGTGGGTATATTTTTGCAAATGACAGGTAAGCACTCCAAAGGTGATAAAAAAAAAAAAAAAAAAAAAGTGAACCATGTGTAAAACAATTGGGGTAGGACTCCATAAGGTTTTTGAACTTCATCCTACTCCTTTTGAGCACCAGGTCCTAAATATGTTCATGTACATATCACTATTTTTGTTATTGTTTTTGAATTTTGTTGTACCTGGCTCAAACAAATAAAATAAATGAAAATCAAAAATCTGAAAAAAAAAAAAAAAACTGAAATATGTGCTCCTAAAACCGATACATATCTGATGTTTGGCATGGGACTTCAGTCTGAACGGCCAGGTCACATTCATCAGACCTACATGTCAGGCTCGGAGTCTAGTCAGTGGAGGGAAAGCGAGTTCTGTGAGTTCATTGATATTTGGGGGGGTCAGGCCAAATTGGAGGGATTGTATTGGAACCGGGGGGTTTTAGAAATGATTGCAAAATAAATGGCCGAGCGTGGCTACAGGTGGTCCTGGCTCCAATGTCAACAAAAATAAAGAGCCTGCGAGTCAAACACAAGGAGAGTAAAGACGAAAGACAAAAACGAAGTGCCCATGGATGTGTAACCTGTTCATTTTACGAAGAACTGACAATTTCAGCGTTTAGGTGACTTTCGGAAACACTGAGCAAACTCGCTGTGTGATGCCGTCATGTCCTCCAACGCGCATGTGGGACACTTTTGGGTGTTTAAAGTTCAGACTAGAGATCACACACAAGTCGCATTTAGATTTTGACTTTACAAGGCTGAAAGTCATGATAAGAACTGTTTGCTGTAAAGTAGCAAAGACGAGGAAATCTGAACATAAAACTTTTGAAAGACAATAAAAAGTCCAGTCTTTCCTTAACCAATTAAAAATATTATTGATAGAGAAATGCATATATGAGATCACTGGTTTTAGTCCTTCCTGGTTAACCTGCTTTAACTTTAGTCCTAGTTTAGTCCTGGAAATCAGTTGGTTTAGTCTGGTTTAGACCTGGTTTTAGTTCTGGTTTTAGTTCTGAAGTCTGGTTTAGTCTGGTTTAAGTTCTAGTTTTAGTTCTGGTTAGTCCTGGTTTAGTCCTGGTTTAGACCTGGTTTAGTCAGTCACTGGAAGTCCTGGTTTTAGTCTTGGTGTTAGTTCTGAAGAGGCGCACAGGAGGAAGCGCGGGTTTACGCGCGTACGCGAAAAACACGATCCACGCGCGGCTCACGGAGCACGTCGGTTCCGCGCAGTAACTACGGAAGGAAACGTGGTCCGCGCGTTCTCAATGACATGATGAAGGGTGTGTTTTGTGTGTGTTTGTGTGCGGTCCCCTCATGTCAGGTCACTATAGGACAGTAGTGCAGACATCATGAGCCTATGCAGGTTGTTTTCACCAGTGACATTTAAGTTGTAGGCATATTATATTTTTATTTTCTTTTATATTTCACGTCGGGAAAGAATTTCCAAGACACGAATGTGTTTCCCTGTGCACTGCTGCTCTGTTCTACTGGCTCTACGACCTCGTCCATTGTGCGACTGACGCCGCCAACTTTAACATGACGTTTACATCGCTCTTACTGCGCGCGTTTTTGTGGGTTTCCGGCAATGAGTGGAATTACCGAAATAAAAAAAATGTATAAATGTGGTTTTGTGTGTGTTTATTGTCCAGTAACACATAAAAACAGATTTTATAATAAAGCAACTTGCATACAAAACACTAAAGTTAGAGATTAAAATGAGATTAACGCGATAAAAAACATAACGCGCTAAATATGACTGTAATTAATTAATCGCAATTAACGCGATAATTTGACACCCCTAGTTTAAAGTTCAGACTAGAGATCACACACAAATCGCATTTAATTGGAAATGTGAACAACCTCGCAAAAAAATCTGATTTCACAAAAAAATTCAAACTGAGCATTAAGGCCTGAAGTCTGAACCTAGCCTAAGAGACTGATAAACAGTGCAAATGTATTTCCAAATAATCACCAGTCATAAATCTTTTGTGCTGAAAAATCATTCAGTACGTTTTGGCAGCTCAACCACTAGATCAGTGCTTCTCATTATATTCTGTCACACACCCCAGGAAGCAGAAAACATTTCGTGCCCCCCACTCCGCAAAATCACTACCAAACGTGGACAAATTGCACCCTCACCTTCAGTTGCCTACATACAAGAGCAAACGTTTTAGTTGTGTCTGCAAAGCGACACCCGGGACACACGTAGCATGTGTCCGTCCGTATTCAGTGCTGCGCTCACCTGCGTCATGAGGCGGTCCGCTCCTGTGTCCTCCTCGTCTTTAAAGATCATGTCCGTGTTATAGTTCGTTAGTATCAGCTCCTCTTATATATGGTACGCCACCTTATATGACTCTAACAGAGCTGGTTTACTGAAGAAGCATTCACAAAACGGGATGATTGTTGTCAATATTCAGCACGTTTTCACTGGAAAAAACTCAAACGGCTTATCAGTGTGATTGGGGTGTAAAGTCTTTAAGCGACGCCGTAATTTATTTGGCTTCATGCTGTCCACTGCCAACATTCTTAGACACAGTAAACACAGCGGTCTTTCCACGTTTCTCACCGTAGTCACAGCTACAAACGCTTTACATACAGTTTGTTCTCTGCACTTCATATCTCCTGATCTGTGCTGTGTGTGCGTTTACTCGGTGTAAAAAAAAAACAACTCTATAGTGCTTATACTCCCTGCGCACACTCTGACAATGAAAGCGTCACTGCCAACTACTGTAGTGGATGTGCAATTACACTTTATTCTTGTATTGAAAAAAAAAAAAGCATGTTCCCCGAGGTCACACGCTCCCCTCCTGACATCGCACCCCATTTGAGAAGGACTGCAGAGAAAGTTGTGAGCTACTGTGAAGAAACAACAGTGAAAGTATCAGTTAAAAAGTTAAAAAGCAATTCACCACAAGGCTCAAACAACATGGATATTTAAAACATGTTCATCAGTTTATGAGCAAGTCACCTACAGCCTATGTATAAGTATGAGACTATAAGTGAACTCAGGAACAAAATGATCCTTTGTTGAAGTGGAAAGACAGAGAAGAGCAGGTGTGACACAGAATGGAGCTCTGCTGAGTTTTGAAAATACTACGCAGGTGCAAAGTGTTGCAAGATCTCAGTGTTTAAATAATGTAATAGACATGAAAGTGCGTGAAAAGTCGATTTCCAAATGAGATGCCATAATAATGAGAAACAATATGATTTTTTTGCACTAAAACCACTAGAGAAAGTTATAGCAAAATGTCAAGAAGTGGAATAGTGCCCGCCAGGCTGCTTCTCAGAGTTCAATAAGAGCATTAATGCCAGAAATGATGGGCCTTGGGCAAGTCTGGAACAGTTGGCAATTCACAGCATGGCTCAAATAGAGTGCACTGGCTGCCAGTTGCACGGACATTGAAGAAATGTAAAACAAATCAATCACAAATTCATTCATTCACGTATTCTTTCTATGCACTGAAATAAGAAACTTTTTTTCATTCAACTGGTGTAAATTTGAGGTATGTTTATAGGAAATAGCCAAAACATGTAAAACGGGTAAAGAAACGCTCCTGTCTAACGAAAATAATTGCTAATTCTACATTTATAACTGAATACAGATATTACCTGTGCTGTAACAATCCAGGGAAAATGGAAACAAAGATGACCTCATAAACAGGATTCATGAAACACATTGAAAAATACAACTAATATGTTATGGTACAATGGCCTGATGTAATAGTGAAATTGTAGGTTAATATGTATTTTATAAGGCTACATTCAGACTGCAGCCTGAAGTGACCCAAATCTGATTTTTTCACCCTTATGTGACCTGTATCTGATTTTTTAATGACAGTCTGAACAACACAGATCCGATTTTTTCAAATGCAAACCCTACAACTGCACAACAATCCCTTTCTATTTTATTTTTACTGTACATTTATATAAGTGTCTCATTTGACACCTGTCTCTTGCTCTTGCTTTTTTGCTACTTATTTAGAATTTAAGTAAGTAAGTCTTTATTTATACAGCACTTTTCGCAGACATTTTTGTCACAAAGACACTTTACAGAGCATTACATCAGCATTATTCATTCACTCTATACCTGGTGATGGTAAGCTACTATTGCAGCCACAGCTGCCCTGCGGCAGACTAACAGAAGCGTGACTGCCATGCCAGTCGGCGCCATCTGTCCCCTCAGACCACATCACTTTCATACTAGGCAATGTGGGTGAAGTGTCTTGACTATCAACTGTTCTGGAGACATATGTAGCATGTTTTGGGTTGATGGGGGAAACCGGAGCACCTGGAGGAAACCCATCCAGACACGGGGAGAAACATGCAAACTCCACACAGAAAGTGCCAGCCACATTTATTTTACCATTTTTATTTTTACTCTTTGTTATTATATTTATTGTGATGTGTGAGCTACTGTGTCCAAATAATTTCCCTTGTGGATCACTAAAAAGTCTAATGTCTAAGTCTAATGTATCTGTACACCATCCCTTCAAATAAATTAAACTAAAGTAATATAGCTAAAAAAAAAGCTCAGAAAAAGTAAATTTTGCATCAAATTTCACTCACATGGTTGACTAGTGAACCCCCACCCTGCCCCCTGAACGACTCTACCCGCTCGGAGTGATGGTCTTGGGAGCGTCCTCAACAGTGAAGGTGACTATCCCCGTCTCCCTGATCCTCCGACGACACGCGCAGAGACAAAGTGGCGCTAAGGGAGCGTGTGCCCGCCTCATTAGACCCCCAGCTCGCCCCCAGCCGCCGCCAGCCATCGACAAAGGTCCGTGCACTTTCCTTGACCTCCATTGTCCTTTTGGCTGGAGGAGAAAAGTGACCCGCCAGGCTAAAAATAACCCAGAATTCCGAGCGTGTGCACTTTGCCTCATTAGGGCCAATCACATCAGTGAACGGATTTCATCATTCCGATAATCCGCAGCAGTTGGCACGGTGACAGGAGGCTGGAGGTAAGAGGAGGCGGATGAGCAGTGAAGCTAGGAGGTCATCTTATCTGTGTGTGTGTGTGTTTTTTTGTCTATAGTGTTCCTTGGCATCGCAGTGTATTTCTAGTTTTCAACTATTTCAAGTAGTCCATTTGCTTACTTATTAAATCACAGCAATCTGTGTATCATTCGTTCATTTGTTTTTCAAAATAAAACTAAAAATATGAAAACAAAAAAAACAACAGTTTTCTTCATTATTTGTCTCAAAACCAAAATGAAAAAATGCATAATGATTTGTTTTTCTTTTCTTTTTTTCTTCAGTTTTTGATTTTATTTTTAAATGAATAATGGAAAAAATTGATAACAGCTGTTTCCTGTTTTCGTGATTTAAACTGCGATGCTGGACTTTTGCTCCACTTACGGACTGAACCAGGACTGAACCACGTCCAAACCAGGACTAAAGCGGTCTCAGTCCCGGTCTCGGTCTGGTCCTGGTCTCAGTCCCGGTCATGGTCTGGTCCTGGTTTAGTTCCAGTCTCAATCCCAGTCTGGTCCCATTCTCAGTTCTGGTCTCAGTCCCAGTCTGGTTCCTGTCTCAGTCCTGATCTCAGTCCAGTCCTGGTCTGGTCCCGGTCTGATCCCGGTCTCAGTCTCGGTTTCAGTCATGGTCTGGTCCCAGTCTGATCCCGGTCTCAGTCCTGGTCTGGTCCTCGTCTCAGTCCCGGTCTCAGTCCTGGTCTCAGTCCTGGTCTCAGTCCTGGTCTCAGTCCTGGTCTCAGTCCCAGTCATTTTTAACATTCAAAAAACCTTGCTGAATTGGACTTCTTTTTCCACATATTATTTCAAACTAAAACCCCCATCCTAAAACGACAAAGACCGGTGTAAAATGTTTGAATAATGCATAGGCCAGGCCGCTAACTTGCTGCATGTTGCACTTTCAAGTCTCTGTACGGTGGAACTTCCTCCCGAGAATCCAGCTGAGCCCAAACTCAAATCTGTACCTGCCCTGACAACCTCCAAACCTAATCCTCCGCACCAGCTCCAGACACCATTTCATTTTTTGTGTCGGCTATTTGAGGGAAGGCGGATTTACTCCCCGAGCACAGCGCCAAAGTGCATCCTGGGAAGTCGGCGAACCACAAAGCACTCTGGGAAACGGCGGTGCTGGCTGCGACCCCGGCTCTCACCTCTCTGTTAAAGAAGCATATGTTCAGCTGTGTGCCAAACGCCGCCGACAAAAGCTCCATCTCACCGGAGGAAAGTGACCTGAAGTTGTACAACAAATGTGAGAATCCAAACAGGTGAACACTTTTATGACAAATGTAAAAGACTGAGGGGAAATGGGCTGGTAAAAATAGAAAGTGGAACAAAACCAAACAAGACTTTTAAAACAGAGAATTTCCAGTTGTGGCATGACAAAATAACCTGATTAGCAACCAGATCAGAGAGATTTTGACGATTTTGGAGATTGGATGGCGTAATAAATAATACTATATACACAACCTGCCAAAAGTTTTAGAACACACACTAACTTTTCCTAGCCAGGTTGGTGCCACCTAGTGCCTCTACTCAATTTAATTTCTCTCCAGCGACTAGGTCAGGAATCAGAATACACTAGACCAGGGGTGTCAAACTCATTTTGGTCCGGGGGCCGTATCCAACCTACTTTGATCCCAAAGGGGCCGGATCAGAAAACTCATGTCATATAAACCCCCAAAAATAACAATAAGTTAAAATATTGGTGCAGAGAAATGCAAATCTATTACAGAAATCTTTTTAATTGATGAACTCTTTCTTTTGCAAAATATTATAATATTAGGAAAACAACCTGAAACTTTCAGAAAAATGCAATTTCAACACAATGTTTTAACATGAACTTGTATGCAAATAAGAATAAGTAAATTTTTCTTGTAAAATCCTGCACTCGGCTCCACTTTTCTCATTTTGGACATTTTTCTGATGAGGGTGTCACGGTCAACAGTCAAAACGATCGTCCTTTAAGAGCGTTTGGAAAGAGACAAGTCTTCATTTGTGCTGCTCTGGTGGGAGGGGCCACGTACAGAGACACTGGAGACGCTAATATGCTAAGCACCACAGAAAATGACCAATATTTTAATAGAAAATATAATTAAAATATTTTAGTAGAAAATCAGCCGAGGGCCAGATTAAAGGTCTTGGGGGGCCGGATCTGGCCCCCGGGCCATATGTTTGACACCTGTGCACTAGACGGTTCGCAAAAACCCCGGAAGTGCGAATTCAGGCACCAGCCAATCAGCGAAGAGTCATACATTCTGTGTTGGTAACGATTCCCAAGACGGAGGATTTAAGGCCGGAATAAAAAGAATGTTTGGTGAAT